AGATTTTTGGCACCTTTCTAGGGAAATGTTTTGCGTGAAGGCTACTTGACATACGAAATATTTAAATATTTTATTTGGTCTCTCTCTCTCTCTCTCTCTCTCTCTCCTCTCTCTCTCTCATAATATATATATATATATATATATATATATATATATAATATAATATATATATATATATATATTACTATTATATATTTGTAGACATTCAACAACGGTTTTTTAAAGTTTTCAATACAGTATTTGCAGATAAGTCCCTTTGATTTTCGCAGAGTTGCCAGGCGTCGCCAGCTGCCTCAGCCGTAGAACCCGACGCGCCGCTCGCACACGATGGGCTTCTCGTGGTGGCAGGCGACGTCATGCCAGCGGATCCCGTCGTTGTAGAAGTTGTTGAGGACCGCCAGGCAGAACTCGCGGCCGTCCTCGCGGTTGTCGGGCTGAGGGTAGCCGTTGCTGGGAGATGGGAAGAGGTGTCAGGCAAAGAGCTCTTGACGAAGTTTATATTTCGTTCGTGAATATCTATTTATTTACCTCTCCACATGTACACGTGCGCGCGCAGACATCAACACGCATACACATCTCTTTCACTCTCCCTCTCCCCTCGTTCTCACTCACGCACACACACACTACCTTTCTCCAAATTCTATCACCAACCGCCTTAGGTAATGACACTTCCTCCTTGACTGTTATGCATTCTATCTTCCACTTAGACTGATTATCAACCGCCTCCCCTAATGGAGTGTTCACTTACGCTCCTGTGTGTGACCAGTTGATGCCGTAGAAGGGGAGACCAGAAGGCCAATACCACTGGTACCCGTTGCGGTATCCTCCCGTCCAGATGTACTTCACTTCGTCTGCGAGGAAGACATGATATCAGGAGTGTTAATAATATGACGACTTCAAATGCTACTAAGACTCGTGTTATATGTGGAAGGCTGTTGTGTGTGTTTGTGTGCGAGAATCTGTTGGAAAGGTATTGGAATGTCTGGTTCTTACTCTTGAGTCGAACTAAAGAGGGAGAGAGGGAGGAGAAGGAGAGAAAGGGAGATGAAGAGGAAGATTAAGAGAAAGAGAGAGAGAGAGAGAGAGAGAGAGAGAGAGAGAGAGAGAGAGAGAGAGAGAGAGAGAGAGAGAGAAAGAGAGAGAGAGAGAGAGAGAAGTTTCAGTGCCTTAACCTTGTGCAATGATGTTGGCGATGATCCTGTCTTCCAGGTAGCTCTCGATGCTGACGCCTTGCCACCCGTACCCCAGGCTGGCGCAGTACCTGTTGGCGGCGCCCCACGGGTACTTCTGGTCTCCGTCGTGGCGCCAGGAGAAGTGGTACTCGCTGCCACCAAACCTCAGATCCGCCTTATACACAACGGGGGAACATATATACGCTATATACTATAGGAAAACATAATTTCTTCAGCGTTTTGAATGGGTGAATAGTGGCCATGATTAGATAATGCTGAATCAAAGAACTATTTGGTTGAAAAGATAAATAAATAAGTAAACATTATTATGTCATCATTCTATTTCCGCGAAAGAGAAAAACATTATTGTTCTCTGTTATTTGCAAAAGAAGTAAGCTTAATCCTTATTTATTTCTAATTTATAATATGGTACTTACCCAATTGGGCTGGCTAATAGCCACAGCTACCACGGTCAAGAACAAAAGCGCCTTCATCTGAAACATGTAACTGAATATATTTTCTCATACAGTGTTCAGCTCAGTGACGCATAAATCTGTTAAGATAAATAAATAAATGGAATTATAATTTGTTTCTCAACGTTCCTAACAAAGATCATAGAAATAACACTTCTCTTCCCCAACCTTAACATTTCATATTCCTAACTTCCTCACTTTTACTAACAAACTAAACATCAACGTTGATAAACGAGTTATCCCAAGTCTTCGAAAACAGTAATGGCAGTAAAGTGGTCCATCTCATGCTTGTCCCTAACTAAAATACAAGTTTTACGATCATCATTTGATAAGCAGAGTATACGTTTCTGAATTAAATAATGAAATAACATTCAGTCAATCAAGTCGAATTACAAGTGGCGTAGCTCAGTGATATAGGTTTAGCAATCGCAGGGTCCTTGGTTCTTTCCCGCCCGCTCCTCTAAGTCGATACAAGCGAGAGTACTGGTATGCTAATATGAGCATGGTGGGGTCAAAGTCAAGGCAACAAAAAGGTTTATTTTGACCGTGCGAGACGACTAATATTTTCTAAGCATTGCCGCTACCAAGCATTATCAAGGGTTTGAGGTTGTCTCGATCTAATGCCCATTCCTTGTTAATGGTAAATGGAACAACGTTCTTATTTTACTTTTAAAAGAAACCCAAACTTTAACGGATAGGATGCAGAACATGAAATAAGCCAAGGAACGTACGATAGGTAGCTAAATTCACAGCTTTATCACCTATCAAAAGACATTTTAGAATCATTTACACAAAAAGATGATCATTAAAAAAAAAAAAAATTATGTTCCTAAATATGCATGAAATATTTGAAAA